CCCCGGTTGCAAGCCGAGCATCGACTCGCAACTAAGAGTGTGTGTGTTTGTCGAGAGTCCCCAATTGCAAGCCAAGCATCGACTTGCAACTAGGAGTGTGTGTGTTTATCGAGAGTCCTGTTATTACTGACGATATTATGTCATTGTTTATTCCATGCTGTGAAATGTAATTGGGTTGCACAAACACTAGAGTGGTTGCATTGTTAGTCTAGAACAAGGGAAAACATATGTATGATTTTTTTTTTTTTTGCTTTTTAGGCAGGATTAGGTTGTCCAAGTGAAAAGGAATGAAAATTTTGTGCATTCGAACACCGAATTATACATGTTTTCCTTTCGTTTTTCCGCAATAGCTCTCCCTGGAAAATCTAAAAATACTTTTGACTGTTATCTATAGGCCATTTGTTTGTCAAAAAAATTGAAACATAAATTTCAGTATATATTACTTCATGTAAATTAGGTAGGATATATATGTAAGTTTTGTAAAGTTTTTTGGGGCCCTTTTTGAATACTTAATCTTACATTTTTTTGAACCCAGAACCTACTCTCATAGACTGTACTGTACTGTATGTAAAGAAGTCTATGCTTTCTCTTTCCCCGAAAGATGATTTCGGAGTTCACATATAAAATGATCTTTTAGTTCTGGACATAATTTTCAAAGAGCGAATACTTGTTTGTTTCTTTACAGGGTTTGTCAGTTTATAGAGATCATGTATCAATTTTACATAAGCCCATAATAGTTTTTTTAACACCTTTTTGTATGTGTTACACATGTCATTCGCAGGGGCTATCAGGGTAAAACTTGGAGAAGAAAAGGTGATAAACCTTTGCAAAAAAGTGGTGCCTATATTGTGCAGTAGCCCTCTCTTTTAGTCCCACTTAGCGTTTTCGCTTTTGTCCACTAGCCTATTCTCAGGCCCGTGAAACAACCTGTTTAGTAGGCTTGTTTAGAAAAAAACATGTTCAGTACTCATAGCAGGCCAAGTAAAGACAGGGGGTGTGGTAGTGGGCGCGTGAGTTCCTTTTCTTGGGCTGGAGATGCACGCAACAACAGAAAAACAAACAAACAAACGATCAATAGGACATGACAGAGGTTATTTGTTTGATGATGTGTTATGATGTCATACTTAGATGTGATATAGTTATGTCACATTTAGATGAGTTCTAGATAGACCTTAAAAATAAAATCAAGAGATAACCCATTATACATATACTTTTATTGTCATCTCTAAACTACATGCAAGCTTAAAATAAAACTGTCTTATCAACTAATGTACTTGCCATTATGGAAATCTGGCCACTAGGAAACATAACCGCCCCCCGCAATAGAGTTATCCTGTTTTTCCTCTGGTTTTGCAACAGGGTATATGCTCTATGAGAATCTCTCACTAGCGAAACATTTGTACACAGCAAGCATACATCGAAAAGAATGCAATGCTCTTGCAATTTTGACCTTGTTTTTACTAATTACCAGAGGGTCAAAGGAATTCGGTTGCACGTTTTTAGGATGCTACTCTGCAAAGCCTTATAAGATGAAAAAAAAAAGGTAATATTCTCTTCCGACAGTCTTCTCTACTACTGTACTTTATGTTGCCAACATATTATTTCGAGGTGCTGCATAACTGCATCAGCGAGGCGTGAAGATGATTCAACTTCCAAATAGCACGGAGGCATTAAACTTGTTACTACCACCAGAGAGAAGGAGATTATCAAAAAATAAAATGGCATACAGGACAAAAGAACGTACTCCTATCTATAGGAAATAATGAGACCAATAATGAGACCGCTTGAGGCTAGCTATCAATTCTTCGGTCGAACTATGAGTTACAACAACAATATCCCAGAGCAGCAGCTTCAGTTATTCTGTGCGAACAGCGAAAATATTCTTGAAGTAAATTTGTCGTCAGAAACAGTCTGTGAGCGAAACCAACTGAGCTCTGGCAAATTAGAGATCGGCCCAACTGCAGCAAGGGCAACATCCTGCAAAACGTCAAACAAGTCACTCGACTGCATAAAACTTCAGAATGGCTCAACTACTCAATCATATTGGACAGTATTACTGTGATATGGAGTTTTAGGCTACATTTGGTATTGCGGTGGATTTTATGGTAGTCCCGTTTGCGCAGCAAGCTTTTGCCAATTTTAACTTTTGATGAATTGATGAACAACCAATCTTTCTTGCATCCGTGGCTAATTTTCCATAGCATATATTATACTACTCCCTCCGTCACAAAATTCTTGTCTTAGATTTGTCTAGATACGGATGTATCTAATACTAAAACGTGACTTGATACATCTGTATTTAGACAAGTACTCCCTCCGTCCGAAAATACTTGTCATCAAAATGGATAAAAAAGGATGTATCTAGAACTAAAATACATCTAGATACATCCCCTTTTATTCATTTTGATGACAAGTATTTCCGGACAGAGGGAGTATAAGACAAGAATTTTGGGACGGAGGGAGTATTACCTCCGTCCCAAAATTTGTCTTAGATTTGTCTAGATACGAATGTATCTAGTCACATTTTAGTGTTAGATAATTCCATATCTAGACAGACAAGAATTTTGGGACGGAGGGAGTATAAGTTAAGCACATCAATCACAAACTGAGAATTAGAAGATCTACCTTGTCAATTATAAACTCCTTGGCTGTTTTCATTACTGTATCACAGTCAACAGCATCAATCCGAGCAAAAAGCTCCAAGAATGGCATTACTCGTCCATAAGTAAGCATCTGCGTGAGATGGTTGAGGGAAAGTTGTTAATCAGGACAGCAGTAGCGGTCGCTACTGACAACGCCATGATAAAATAAATAAAACATACCTGGCGACCATTATTTTCAGAAACTGCAGTTGATCCATCAAAGTGAAGCAAAAGAGAGGACTTCAACTGAAAAGGATAAAAATGTTAGTTCTTGTTACCTGCTTCTTTTTGTGATGAAAACAGGTTTATTTGATGCATACAAAACAAATTGCTTGCAAGTGAAGCCAAGAAATATTGAGGCTTTCTTGCAAGTGACAACTATAGGATTGATGTATCCAAAAATCTTTTTTTGAGAATGTTGTAACACCTACTCCCTCCGTTTCTAAATATTTGTCTTTCTGGAGATTTCAACAAGTGACTACATACGAAGCAAAATGAGTAAATCTACACTCTAAAATATGTCTATATACATCCGCATATGGTAGTCCATTTGAAATCTCTAAAAAGACAAATATTTAGGAATGGAGGGAGTACAAGTTTGCATGACATGCATCATAATTAATTACTCTACTCGTCATACAGTGTAACACAATATCATGTAAATAGACCCATTCTCACAAGCTGCTAGTGTCATTTCACGAAAACGGGAGAGGTTTTGCTGTTGATGAACTTGTTACTAGTTTACCTATTGCTGAAGCTATAAAAGATTAATCATCGGTCACATTTTTAACAATATTACATGCAGCCACCTTGTCACTGTTGTTGTTAAGTAGGGCACCATGGACTTAGCAGTAATAGTAGTAGCATAGTTGAATGGATAAAAAGATAACTGAAAGACAGACAAAAATAGAACCGAGACATCTCTACAATCACCTGCAGCCCACAAAGAAGCATGGTCCTATTAAACAAACTGGAACACTTCAAGTGCAAGTTCAAATCTACCAAATTCAAGGATTTTCTCTAATATTGTTAATAATGTAGGAGCAACTGTGTGATTTTGTCTTCTATAAATATCCACATGGAAAACCAGACAATAAAAGAAAAACGTGTAAATCTAGTGAATACTCTTGGAGACCATAGCTACCTGATTACGAGCACGAGCAACCTCTGTCTCTGACACTCTGAATGCAAGTCTTCTAAATTCTTCCATTATTAACCGTGACAGGTCATGTAGTGCGTCAGGCTGCAATCATATTACAAAAATTATAAGATGATGTTTTACAGATAAACCATTTGGTCTGATACATAGCATAACTGATAACTCATCTCCATCGCTGGGAAATTGCATTATCACATTAAACTTGGAAGAAACTTTATCTGGCACACACACAAGTGATGAAGTGATTGCTACAATATTTCAAACTCGTAGCCAACGCAGATGATACAAGGGTAAAGAACAGTTTGACTAACAAGAAAGAACTGGAAGTTTACTAATTATAATCCTAAGTGGTAACAATGTTTCTCACTAATCACTTCTTACACATTCCCTAAGTGGAGAGTAATACATAAATAAAATGCTTAGTTATACAAATATATTGCCCCAAATATTACCTCGAAACTTCAGATTTAAACTAATCAGTATTCGGTTTGCACTATAATAACGGATAATATAGCAGTAAACTTAACAATAAAGATAACTATTACTCATAATAGTTGACAAAGAGATACTGGGAAAAATTACATCAGATCAGACTTTATCTAAGTTGATTCAACATTCAAGCAACAAGCAACTGAAAATACAAGATTGAGAAATAAACTTTACCGGAGCACTAGTATAGATGCCAAATAATCCTGTATCGCGATAGTTAGTGTTGAATGCCATCAAGTTCTCAGCTAGCTCACCATTGCTGATGCCACGAGCTAAAGCAGACCTTACAGTTTCAATATATAACAACAGCTTTAGCAAGAAATTCAGTAAGAAGAAACTAGGAGGGCAAATTATTGGTCAATCAATCAGTGAAAATCCTTCTCACCCTGAGCAGTTCCCTACGCCGATGCTCCTATTCCAAGATCCCAATATGCTTTGGGTCACCATAAGAGGAATAGAGCTAGGGTTAGTCCAGGATGAACCCTTGAAAGCAATTGCAATATGCGCTAGAGGCATCTCGGCATTCTCCACACGAACCTAATGATACATTAAAAAGTTCAAAAGATAATCAATTCACATAGTCTAATAATTTACTACAATAACATTTTGATAAAACTAAAAGCAGACCTCTGAGCCAGTAAAAATAGCCGGATTTGCCTCAACAAGCTGATCTGCAGTAGTTGGATCAGTAGAGAATCCTGTAAACAATTTTCTGACTTGATCAACAACCTCATCGTGATCGACAGCTCCAGAAGCAGATACAACCTAAGCCAACCGACAAAATAGAAAGTTTTACCACTCAAGTTACACATAAGAAATGGCTAAATTATTCCAAATAGGTACATAACCATACCATTCTAGGACAGGTATAATGCGTTGAAATGTACTGCTGCAAATCTTTCTTCGAGATAGATTTAATGTTCTCCGTAGGACCTAATATCGTGTCCCCCAGCGGATGGTCTCGGAATGCTGCGGTATGCAGGTGATCAAATATCACCTCCTCCATCATTCCTTGCACCTGTCCACCCATAAACATATGCAGCCATGCATCAAACATCATGTAGGCATCAACCATACATAACAATCAATACTCTCTGGCCAATGGTCAGATGACCAAATTACCAATGCCAGAGAACATCAAGTAAGAGTAAGTATCAGGAAAGCTTACACCCATTGACTAGTAAATTTAGGAATCTAATTCTAGCTGTATAGGGAAAAGGAGGGGTAACTCAGCAAAAGGGGCGACAGCTCACCTCCTCCATCTCGCGGAGGATGACGCCGCGCTCGCGCTGGATGCCCTGCTGCGGAAAGCGCGGGTGCTGAAGGATGTCGCTGAGAACATCGAGCGCGGCTGGCACGTCACGGCCCTGCACGTCGGCAAAGAAGGTGGTCTGCTCGCGGGAGGTGTAGGCGTTGAGGCGCGCGCCCATGTCCTCGATCTCCACCTCGAGCGCGTTCGCGGTGGGGCGGCGCTCTGTGCCCTTGAAGGCCATGTGCTCGAGGAAGTGCGCCGTGCCGTTCGTGCCGGGCAGCTCGAAGCGGCTGCCGGCGTCGACCCAGACGCCGACGGAGGCCATGCGGGTGGCGGCCGGGTAGGACTGGGTGACGACGCGGAGGCCGGTGGGGAGCGTGGAGACGCGCGCGGCGGGGAGGCGGAGAAAAGGGGAGTGGTCGGCGGCGCGGGGCACCGGCGACGCGTGGCGGAGGAAGCGGTTGGGCGAGGGGGCGGCGGTGGAGTGGAGGAGACGGTAGAGGTGGGGTAGGAGCCTGCGCTTCGAGCGGACGGCGACGGCGGCGGCCATGTGTTGGATGGAGTTCCCCTACCGTCGCGCCGCCGCAAAGGAGGAGAGGGGAAGAAGGGTCTGGGCTTTTCGCTCCCGTTTATTCTTGCGTCGGGGGAAAGGCTCGGCAGAGAAATATCAAAAGCTTATGTTCCACGTAAATCAGGTCCGTGGACACACGGGAGGGCTTTTTTTTATGTCGAAAAATTGAAACGGACTGTGGTTCGGGGTCGGGTTCGTATCCGGCCCAGATTTGGTTGCACACTTGCTTACTACTAACCCTCAAAAAAAAAACTTGCTTACTACTGTACTACGTTGGGTTTTTTTTTCTCCAGGAAGAAAAACGTTGACATTTTACGAGGATAAAATCGATCTCCACTAGTTTTGGATGGCCAAGAGGAGAGCGGCATTTCCAACACATCAGAGTTTAAGTCCTGTATCGATGTACTAAAGTCTGGGTCTTTAGCACCCCATACTTGTGCACGGGCAGTCGTAGTCACACCTGCGGCAAGGCCTGAAGAGGACGATCAAGGATAAAAATAAGATCACTAGAGAAGCAGTCAAGTCAATGATTAGAGAATAGAAGACCAGAAGCCGAGGCCCCGGCAGATCCTTGCCAGGGTGGCTCGCGAAGCCCCTGGCGAGATCCTTGCCGGGATGAATTGCTAAGCCCCCGGTAAGGTCCTTGCCGGGGCAGAGTACAAGGCCCGGCGAGATTCGCGCCTGGCCAGGTTCCGCCACCACCCCAACGCAGCGACTGGCCTGCCAGCCTGGCAAGCACCTGCGTGGTGGCATGCATATCTTCGTGAAGAGCCTGCCACCGTTCCAGCGCAGCGGCTAGCCAGCCAGCCTAGCATTGCACGTCTCGTCAGCCCGGATGCGTGTCAAGACGGGAAAAGGCGGCGATGGTTGGGACGGGATCTGTTTCCTTCCCCGCTAAAGCTAGGGGGCACGTAAGTAGTGCATTTAATGTGTTTGTCCTAAGGCGCCGGTGATAAACATAGACACTATAGCTACTTTACACCTCCTGTGTGCCACTGTGGCAACCCCTTGAACATATAAAAGGAGGCTCAAGGCGTACTGGAGGAGGATTCGGACTTTTGAACCTCTCGGTCCAGCTTGCATGCATAGCAGTTAGCCGAAGCTCAAGAACACAGAATATACACTCAAGCAGGGCTACTGTTTTACGTTGCTGAGCGACCCGAACCTGGGTAAAAACCCATCGTGTTGATCGTTAGACCTGCTCTTTGCACACCCCTCTTCCCTGCCAAACCGTAGATGGGATCCACGTGATCCCGTAGGTGTCTTTTCCCCGACATCCTTGGCGCGCCAGGTAAGGGGGTCAGGTGGTGCAAACCTGGTCTAGCAATTAGCGCGTCGTTTCCTTGATCACCATGGCTCCCAAGAAGAAGGCGATCACGGCGATCGGTTCGTCTGGAGCCGAACCGCCCGTGCCAGCACGGACGGGCAACGAAGTAGTCACGGATGGTGGCGGAGGTGTGGACCACGAGCATCCACGACACTCTGGCAACCGAAGCCAGGCGAGCGGCATGGTTCGTGCACAAGACGACGAGCCGTGCGCCACGGGGTCCAAGGGCGGAGCCGTGCTGCCTACGGGCGGCGCGACGACTGTTGGGGAACGTAGTAATTTCAAAAAAAATTCTACACACACGCAAGATCATGATGATGCATAGCAATGAGAGGGGGGAGTGTTGTCCACGTACCCTCGTAGACCGAAAGCGGAAGCGTTAGCACAACGCGGTTGATGTAGTCGTACGTCTTCACGATCCGACCGATCAAGTACCGAACGCACGGCACCTCCGAGTTCAGCACATGTTCAGCCCGATGACGTCCCTCGAACTCCGATCCAGCCGAGTGTTGAGGGAGAGTTTCATCAGCACGACGACGTGGTGACGATGTTGATGTTCTACCGACACAAGGCTTCGCCTAAGCACCGCTATAGTATTATCGAGGTGGACTATGATGAAGGGGGGCACCGTACACAGCTAAGAGACGATCAACTTGATCAACTTGTGTCTCTAGAAGTGCCCCCCTGCCCCTGTATATAAAGGATCAAGGGGGAGAGGTGCGGCCAGCCTTGGGGCGCGCCAGGAGGAGTCCTACTCCCACCGGGAGTAGGACTCCCCCCCTTTTGCTAGTTGGAATAGGACTTGGGAGGGGGGAGGAGTGGAGGAGAAGGAAGGGGGCGCCGCCCCCCTCTCATTGTCTTATTCGGATGTCACGCCCTCGATGCGGCTATATCTCCCACGTGTCAAAGCATGACTTAGAGGCATAACCGAATTGAAAGCAATGTCGCAAGTGAGGTAATCTTCACACAACTCATGTAATACATAAGGGAAAGAGATACATAGTTGGCTTACAATCGCCACTTCACACAATTACATGAATAAGGCATTACAACATCCAAATACAATCAAGGTCCGACTATGGAACCAAAATAAAAGAAGACTACCCCAAATGCTACACAGATCCCCGATCGTCCCGACTGGGCTCCACTACTGATCAACTGGAAACGGAACAACACAAAGGACAAGATCTTCATCGAGCTCCTCCTTGAGCTTGGTTGCGTCATCTGCACGATTCAACGGCACCTGCAAGCTGGTTTTGAAAGTATATGTGAGTCACGGGGACTCAGCAATCTCACACCCTCGCGATCAAGACTATTTAAGTTTATGGGTAAGGTAAAGGTATAAGGTGGAGCTGCAGCAAGCGACTAGCATATATGGTGGCTAACATAAGCAAGAGAGCGAGAAGAGAAGGCAAAGCACGATCGAGAAACTATGATCAAGAAGTGATCCTAGAACAACCTACGTCAAACATTACTCCAACACCGTGTTCACTTCCCGGACTCCGCCGGAAAGAGACCATCACGGTTACACACGCGGTTGATGCATTTTAATTAAGGTCAACTTCAGATTTTCTACAACCAAACATTAACAAATTCCCATCTGCCCATAACCGCGGGCACGACTTTCGAAAGTTTAAATCCCTGCAGGGGTGTCCCAACTTAGCCCATCACAAGCTCTCACGGTGAACGAAGGATATTCCTTCTAGCGGGAAGACCCGATCAGGCTCGGATCCCAGTTATAAGATATTTCGACAATGGTAAAACAAGACCAGCAAAGCCACCCAGATGTGCCGACAAATCCCGATAGGAGCTGCACATATCTCATTCTCAGAGCACATCGGATAAGCAAGACGTCGAGTAAGCCAGCCTAGAGTTGCCCCTGGTAGCCTCGGACATCGCTCAGTTGGACCAACACTTTGAGAAGCACTGACCCGGGGGGTGAAATAAAGATGACCCTCAGGAGCGCAACTCCCAAGGGAAAAGAAAAGGCTAGGTGGCGAATGGTAAAACCAATGTTGGGCATTGCTAGAGGAGTTTTATTCAAAACGAACTGTCAAGGGGTTCCCATTATAACCCAACCACGTGAGGAACGCAAAATCCGGGAACATAACACCGATATGACGGAAACTAGGGCGGCAAGAGTGGAACAAAACACCAGGCATAAGGCCGAGCCTTCCACCCTTTACCAAGTATATAGATGCATTAATTAAATAAGAGATATTGTGATATCCCAACAAAAACCCATGTTTCAAACATGGAACAAGCTCCAAACTTCATCTGCAACTATCAACGCTATAAGAGGGGCTGAGCAAAGCGGTAACCTAGCCAAACAACGGTTTGCTAGGGCAAGGTGGGTTAGAAGCTTGGTTTAACAATATGGGAGGCATGATAAACAAGTGGTAGGTATCGTAGCATAGGCATAGCAAAAGAGCGAGCAACTAGCAAGCAAAGATAAAAGTTATTTCGAGGGTATGGTCATCTTGCCTGAAATCCCGCAAGGAAGAAGAACGAGTCGTGAAGAAGACAAACGAACGTAGTCGAACGGATCCTCACAAACGCGACGTTATCGGAACCAACCCGAAGAAGCAACACCAAAAAAAAAGCACACAACATAGTAAACAACTATCACATGATCATGGCATGATGCACAACAAATATGATGCATGTCCGGTTTAATGATACATGGCATGGCATGGCAAAGTGCAACAAACAACACTACAGATTAAGTGGAGCTCAATATGCAACGGAGTTGCATATTGAAGAAAACACCACATGACTTATTTAGTTCGATCTCATTTATGTACTCAACAATATTAAATGTTGTTAGCATGGCAAGAGGTGAAGCATAATAAAAATTATCTATCTAGGCAAGTTTAAATGAGGCCGGAACAACAAAACAACAAGTCCGGAAACTCCTCATGTGCATATATTAGGTTTGGTACTGATCTGCCCTAACACAATATTTGAGTTGTTAAACATGCAAGGCAAGTACACCATGTTAAATTAGGCATTTTTCTACCCCATTTACATATAAAGTTTATTTAAAACCGAGCTACGATTATTAAGTTATGAATTAAATCATTTTAGCAAGTTATTTAAGCAAATTTAAAAAAACAGCATTTTTAAACATAGATGAAAGTGGCAAATTATTAATCTACACGAAAATCTAAGCAAGTTTCATATATTAAGTTTTTACATGTGATGCTTAGTTTGTGAGTTAAAGTATGCATGAAGTCTAGGGGGTTCTTTGTAAAACTAGCAGTTCTCTGATAATTAGCAAAATCGTTCAGGAAAAAAAACAGGCACTCGGGCCGGAACTGAACAAGAAGCCCAACAAGGAAGGGAAAAAAAAGAGGGGCGCAGGGCAAACCACCATGGGCCAAGGCCCGCTGGATCTGGCCAAGAGGAGCTGGGTCTGGCGCGCGAGACAGGCCCAGGCGCGGTTCACCGAGCGGTCAACAGGCGCGGCGTGCGCTCGAACGGCTCGAGACAGAGGCGCCGTCCTCCTCTGCTCGACAGGAAGCAGGCGCGGCAGCGCTGAGGACTCCGGCGAGCGTGGGGCACAACGGGATGGCGCGAGGAGGCGCCTGGGTCCAGATCCTACTAGGGGAGGTGCGGATCGGGTCTCCGAGTAGGGAAACGTGCTACCAGT